CACATGCACACTCACATACACACTCACATGCACACACATACACACACACACACACACTCACATGCACACTCACATGCACACCTGCACACACTCACATGCACACACACACACACTCACATACACACTCACATGCACACCTGCATGCACACGCCCGCACCCCTTCAGACGCGGTGATCACCACGTGGGATGTGAAGAACGCCAACATCTTCTGGACAGCTATGATGAAGATGCCTCTGGGCACACACCAGATCATGACGTACAAGTGCATGATCATTGTGCACAAGCTACTGCACGACGGCCACCCCTCAGTCATCCCTGCGACCTACCACCAGAAGACCAAGTATGTGTGTGTGCACATGTGTCATCAGAACATGAGAAGACCAATTATGTGCGTGTGCACATGTGTCATCAGAACATGAGAAGACCAGGTACGTGTGTGTGCACATGTGTCATCAGAACATGAGAAGACCAAGTATGTGTGTGTGCACATGTGTCATCAGAATATGAGAAGACCAAGTATGTGTGTGTGCACATGTGCCATCAGAACATGAGAAGACCAAGTGTGTGTGTGTGTACATGTGTCATCAGAAGACCAAGTATGTGTGGGGTGTTTGTACCTGTGGATGTGAGCGTTTGGCGTGTGCATGCAAGCTATGTATAGTGTGCGAATGTATGTGTAGGTATCCTTGAGTACATATGTATAAGTGTGTACGTCGATTACTCTCTCGTGTGCACAAGCTATCCCTAGCGTGCTGACCTATGTGTAAGTACTTCCCACCTGAGAGTGTTTGTGCGTGCGTGCGTACGTGCTAGTTGGTCAGAGTGCATGGACGCTGAATAGAGTTTGCGTGTTCTAATGGGAGTAACCAGAGGACTTTTAGCCCAGGCGTGCACGCACCATGGCACCGGTGGCTGATTTATGGGTGAGCTCCTGGTTTTTGGACATGTATGTAGTACTGGTTTTTTAATAGCAGTATGCTAAAAAAACCCCAAGTTTTGTGAAAGAAATAGGCTACTCACACTGCTCGTGCGCTAGAATGCGGTGCGACTTGCAGTATACCACCAGCGTACCAAGGGACCCCACCAATGTCTTGAACTGGACGGGCAGGTTTGTTTTAGGGTCTGCTCTAAACCCTAAACCCTAGCTCTAAAACCAGAGGACATGTAGGGTTTTAGGGTTCTACTAAACCCTAAACCCTAATCTTGAACTGGACGGGCAGGTTTGTTTTAGGGTCTGCTCTAAACCCTAAACCCTAGCTCTAAAACCAGAGGACATGTAGGGTTTTAGGGTTCTACTAAACCCTAAACCCTAAACCTAAAATCAGAGGACCTTAGGGTTTTAGGGTCTGCTACTAAACCCTAAACCCTAGCTCTAAAACCAGAGGACATGTAGGGTTTTAGGGTTCTACTAAACCCTAAACCCTAAACCTAAAATCAGAGGACCTTAGGGTTTTAGGGTCTGCTACTAAACCCTAAACCCTAAACCCTAAATACCAGCCTATTCACTCATCTGTGGCAATTACCAGCCTATTCACTCACCTGTGTCTGGATAGTACCAAACAGCCCGCATCTCCTATGGTTACGCACATCTGGTTTTTCTCACACATGTTTATGCACATTTACTTCAGTTGTTGTTTCTCGCACGTGCGTTCTTCTCGCCTATGTTCATTACATCTGTTGTTCTTTCTTCTCACCTATGTTCATTACATCTGTTGTTGTTTCTTCTCACCTATGTTCACTACATCTGTTATTGGTTCTCATTTTTTCTCACGTGTTTGTCCTCCACTTGATAGGCTGCAGCAGTTGGGTGGCATGTGCTGTTACTCTTTCTCACACGTGTTTGTTTTAGGGTTTTTAGGTTTTTTCTCACGTGTTTGTCCTCCACTTGATAGGCTGCAGCAGTTGGGTGGTATGTGGGCCCATCAGAGCGGAGCCTTTGCGCCGTTGGTGGTGTCCTACATCCGATTCATTGTGCAGAAGGTCGACTTCCACCACAAGGTACTAGACACATGTATATATTACTATATAAGGTACTATACCTACATGTATATAGTACTATATAAGGTACTATACCTATATGTGTATATAGTACTATATAGGGTACTATATACACACGTATATAGTACTATATAAGGCACTATACCTATATGTATAGAGTACTATATAAAGTACTACACACACATGTATATAAAACTATATAAGGTACTACTACACCCATATTATATTGGGTAAATCTTTATTTGCGAATTGTGTACAATTTAGAACTCAGTTTATGACGTGCGCATATACAGTAGGTGGGTTGTCTTCTAATGTGGACGTGTGCATGTGCATGTACGCATACACACATCCCCTTCATACGCAGCACATCTATACGAATGCCGAGTAGCCACGTAACACACTCCATGTGATATGACTTCAAAGCACTAAATGATTCAGTCAAATATACTCAATATACGCAGCCTCACTATAGACACTCATTGGCATAAACACGCAACATGTGGTATGACCTCAAAGCATCAAATAATTCAGTCAAATATACTGTCAATATACGCAGGCATACTATAGACACTCATTGGCATAAACACACTCCATATGGTATGACCTCAATGCACTAAATGATTCAGTCAAATATACTCAATATATGCAGCCTCACTATAGACACTCATTGGCGTAAACACACATGTGACATTTAATAACTTTAAACCCTAAAACCCTAAAACCTATCAGTACCAAGGTCTTCCGGGTGATTTGAACAACGAGATCGATGCCATCGGCGTAACTAAATTAGCCGAAGTGGGAAACGCATACACATTCCTGGCCGACTGCTTTGACATGCAAGACACGCTCATGAACCTAGGCGCATCCTCCCTGGCATCCCTGAATCTGCGACTGTCACCCGCCCAATGTGTAAGTGT